TCAACCCATCTGAGGAGAACAACAAAAACAGTTATGACGAGATGATCCCTTTTGTGTTTTTTACAGCATATTTTGACCTTTTATTTATTACTGTCATGTGCCACATTACAACATTAAAATATCTGAAATGAAGAGACACAGGCACAGATCTTAGTCTTTTAAACTATGCTTTAAGTGGATGAAAATCTGGAGTAATAAGAGAAACAAGCTGAGCAAACATTAACAGCAGCAGCCAATGAGCAACAGAAAAATACTTTAACCCGTTTTAATTACTTAATTAATTAGAGAGGAAGAGACCTATGCATTATACGGCTCATGATAAAAAGCCCATGAACAATGAAGGATCCTAATTGGGAGAAACGGCCTATAAGAATGGCAATTGACACCCCCAAACTCTGCTTTTGTTATAGTTTTCTAATTAAGTGACCTCTAGTGGCAGAACAAACTAACCTTCTTTCTTTTGTGTCGTAGTTGCAGGACTTAGTTCTGGGTGTGGGGACAGAGCTGCTTACAGACATGGAGCAGTGCATGTAGAGCTGCTACAGGAAATCAAACAAGTTACACATCAAATGGTCTTTTAGTGGCATGGTACTCGAACAAAAACAGACAAGTTTGCTTAAACTTAAAGAATTCTTGCTCACCTGGCCTGTCATGCCTGTGAACAAGAAGGCATCCACAGAGAATCTCACAGCATTTGTTTTGTATAGGATGAATCTGGAGCGACTGTCCTTGCTTTCAACCATACACCTTCAGAAGGAGAGAAAGCCTGTCTATTACTTATGTCTATTTCTTCTATAGAGATGTTTTTTTGTGACCAATATTCTCAAAGTCTTTATTTTGTGTTGGCGTGAGGTGTTTTTTTTACCCATAGTTGGCCACGACTTGAAACTGAGGCGTGGAGTTGTGGGACCTCTCTGGAGTCGCGTAACAGAAGTGGACGTACAGTCTTTGGTCTTCTGACAGGGCCGGGGCTTTTGCCTCAAAATACATCGGTTGCCCAAGCTCGTACTGATCTGACGGAGAAAGCCTTTCCCACTGAGCTAAATAAAAGAAGAAGAAAACAGTCGGGCAACAACAACAGCAGCAGATTCCAAATGCATCCTCATTCGTGCAGTAAAAAAAATAAAAATAATTAAATGTAAAGACTGAGATGCATGACACCACACATTTGTATTTAATCCCAGTCTTCCATATTGTATGATGTCGCACATGTTGGCGTTTGCATGTTAACCAACTAACACATTTGTTTTGTGGATAGAAAAACACAATAATTAATCAAAATGCTCCATTGTTTTTTCTGTGTGAGTCTATTAAAAAAAGGGCAGAGGCCATTGTTGGGAAAATACTGAATGTATTCTTCTAATATCAGAGTAGCACATGATAACAAAGGCCCAACTGTAGCTGTGTACGTGACAGGATGTATGATTACCTAGAAGAGCGTCAGGACTGTTTTAGGCATATGATAGCTATGTGAAAACATGATGATTCAGCCTCTATGGAGATAGACATATGACCGTCATGTTTATAGCTTACGCAGGTCTTAGCTAATCTGAACTAAACATTGTAGGCTATACTGATTTGAACCGGTATTCTCCATAGTGTGACTGTAACACCCTCTCTAAGCATGTCAAGGACAATGCTCTGGGAACTATAGTTTTACCACGCAGCCCTGTATGTGATGACTACTTCCATTCTTGCAAGGATAATAAATACATACATGTATCCTGATATTGAAGACCAAGCCAGTGACGAGTGATGCTTTTCCTAACAGCCATAAATCCTTTTTTCCAAATAAAATATAATAAAATATCAGTTGACATTAAGACATGTTTGCTGGTTTACCATTTTGTGGCGTCAGAAGGAATTTCACTCTATTCTTCATTGGTTTGAAGATATTGCGCGGTTGACTCTTGGGTCTGTAGCCAATTTTGTAGGAGTATTGGTACCTAAACATTTAAAACATGGTTAGGATTAATAAACAAGTGTTTCTATATGATCTTTAAGTTAAATGGGTTAAAAAAAACATTATTTCTAGTATGGATCCACATACCTGTTATAAAAGCATGAAACAGGCAGGATGAAGGAAACAGCTCTTCTGATTGGTCCTTGGAGCTGTGGTGATTTATATTGTAGTTTGTTTGAATAGGTAATCTGATTATTAATTATCTGCAAAGAAACAAACCAGCTTGATTATCAATCTTCCTTAAACAAGACTAAAGTGTCCACAGCTTTGCTGGCAGCTCTGTGAGACCATAGTTAGCAGGGTACAGCTAACCTTAGAGCTAAATGCTAAGATCAGCATGCCATACTGGCTAAAATCATTCTAACAAGCAAATGATTAGCATGTATCCGTTAAACGTGCTCATCGTCTTAGTTTAGCGTGTTAGCATGCTTACATTTTTAAATAAGTGATGTTATATCTGGATGGTACAGATCAAAATGTAAGACTTTACCTTATGACGATGTATGAATTGCATGACTATCCTAGATGGTTGTCAAGATTTGGGCTGCAACTAACAATTATTTATTTATCAACTAATTGCTGGATAAACATTACAAAAAAAGTGAAGAATCGTCATCAAAGTAGGCTTAGGCTACTCAAGGGGCCTCAGCTGACTTCATTAAGTGTTTGGTTTAGCATGACCAACATAACACTCAACCAACAATAACAACCACAAAAAACAAGATTGAAAAACGATTAATTTATTTATTTATTAATGCAGCGGTGGCGCTACAGGAAAAGTCAGAATAACCAAATTCAGTAGGATTCATCCTTTGGTAAGCATGAATGCATACCAGATTTGGCACCAATCATAGGCTACTGTATAGGCCTACAGTACCAGAGGTGGAAAAAGTACTCAGATCTTGTACTCAAGTAAAAGTAGAAGCACCAGAGTGTAGGAATACTCCTTTACAAGTAAATGTCGTGCATTGAACATGTTATAAATAAAAAGTAGAAAAGTATTTGCATCAACATATACTTGAAGTACTAAAAGTTAAAGTAATTATATCATATGTTTTGATATTAAAGTGTTATCAAAGCTGGTAAAAGGTGCAGCTAGTTTTATTTGTATACTACAGATTATACTGCATTAATCCAAATCTGCAAATACACTTGGTTTATTGAATACATGTAGTGGAGTAAGTACACGATTTACCTCTGAATTGTAGGAGAGCCGAAGTACAAAGTAGCAAAAACTTGAAGTACAAGTATCTCGGAATTGTACTTAACTTAAGCACAGTAGGCCTACTTGATTTGATCTGTTTAGTTACTTCAAACCTCTGATAAGCCAATGCATCAAATAAATGTTACGAAACTATCGACCCACTAACAAGCCGAGATTCCTGGGTAGGCCTAGTGCCACGCAGCTTAGGCTACTTGGCTAAAACTGGTTTAAAAACTAAGTATTGTAAAGTCTTACCGTGCGTTTGGTTCCACACATGCCTAGATCATATTTAAAATAAATGTAATTCTCTGTAGTTTTGCTGATTTGGCATGACCCCAGTTTGAGACGAGAGTACGGTTCACCGGTGCCCAGAATGCTCCTCTGCACCTGCACCAGCATCTTGTTGCTCTTGCACGAAATCCTCACGGAATCACCCTTAACACCGGGCGCGTCGGTAATATTAGTCCGAGCCGGGAACAGGACGTCCCGGACGGGCTCGGGTAGAGGCTCCTGTCCGGTGCCTCTGGATGGAGTAAACTGCTCCTTCTCCACCAGCGGGAACCTGGAGTCCACAAACACGGGGAGCTGGAGGTATGGCTGCGGCAGAGGCGGTCTCATCACTTGGGTCGGCTGTGTTAGAGCTTCAAACCCCGGTACTGTTCCTCCATAAATGGTGGACAACAGGGGCAGCATGAACAACAGGGACAGGTAAACCATGCCCGGGAGTTCTAGGTTTTATTTTTAGAATTAAACTTCACCTTTAACTATAGAGTATTATCACTGAAATCGGTTGATTTTGGTATAGACCCTGTTTTTTAACATGTCATGTCACGATTTGCACAAGTGGAACTAATAACATCAGAGATGGCGCCTTTTCCTTTCTGCGGAGCCAATTGGTGAGCTCGAGGGGACTTTTAAGGGAAAAGACTTGTAATTAGTGACATTGGTAACACCTGTGGGGTTTTTACCTGTTAGGACGAATACAATATCTGTTATGAGAAACAGTTTTTCAACATGCACATTAAACAGGATTTTACCTGAATGAATAAAACATTGGATCCAAACAATACTTATTATTCAATCATTTATTTTTGTTAAAATCATTTAATACCATGTTTTAGAGCAATTATGTTTCTTTACTCTGAATTGTGCTAATGCTACCACTGCATGTGTGGCCTTTTTGATGGAATGTCTTCCCCATTTAGTGGAGACTCTAATACAAAGAGTACATATTTACACACAAATTGCAAAACCCTCTGTTTTATCACAATCTGAAAATATTAAAACATGGGAAGTTAAACATGTTAAACTCATCCCAGGTACGTCTTGAGTTAGCAATTATAAGACACACATAATTGTGTTTTTCATTTCACAGGCATACCTCAGTTAAGATTAGCGCATATTTATTCAAAGGAAGTTGTGTTCAATGACAGTCCTTTAGAGCAGGGGGTTACAACCTGGGCGTCAGCAAGTTCTTTAAAAAACATTTATGTTTGTTTGATTGTTAAATAAAATAGAAGAATAAGATTAAAAGTTCCTTTTAAAATAACAGGAAAACTCATATCTGATGAAACATTCACAGGAAATAATCATCGAAATCGCTCATTTTACACAGATTTTCTGCAGTTATTGCATTCATACTTTGGTTTGACTATACAGTTGTTCTGCACTGTTATTGTGTGTTATTATGTATTGATTACAATATGAAATATCAATATAATACATCACTTAACATGTGTCAGGAGTCATTCTTTTTACTCAAAAGGGGTCCCTTCAGAAAAAGGCAACGCCGCTTCATGTGTTAAGCTAGTTCTCTGCCACATGTTTTTCTATTCACCAAACTGAGTATGAAATGAGAAGTGTGAGTATTGTGCCAGTCCAGTAGCGGGTCGCAGGTGCCTCGGCTCCGTTGCACAGGTGTGTGTTGCAGCATTCATTGGTGAAGGTGAAGTTAAGTCCCATGGTGTGTTTCTCTCCCTTGGCTCCACACAGGGAGGGCAGGACACAGCTCTTCTCATACAACACCACAAGGAAGTCTCCTGAAAATCATGAGTTCAAAATAAACTATACAGACACACATCCCTCTGTGCTGCCTTTCTCAGTTCTTGTTCTCAGTTTTGAATAATTTAAATAATGTTTAGTGACTTGAGGCGACTCCTCACCTTTCTCACCCACCGCTCTGCTGGATAGGCAGACCTGTTCGGGCGGACACTTGAGAGGAAATCTGATGCAGTCCAGAGGTGAGATGGCGGGAAACACACAGGTGTAACAGAAGAGGGGAACTGAAAGGACAGACATGTTTAAAACCACAACATATCTATATAGAGCTTAGTTTTGCATGGGAGCTGCAGGTACAGCATTATGAGCAACACATGCTGACATTGACAAACTGCATGACCCATAGCTATGAATTGAAATCCTCAAGTGTCAACATTTTGCAATTGATGAGACCAAAAGTATTATTATTATATCATAAGAAATAGTGGTTATTACTTTTGCAATGGTCATTTCTAAAGTAAATCAAATAATAAATAAGATGAAATTAACAATAAAGATGTAGAGCTTAACAATTTGTTGACGAACTGACCGTTTTGATAATTAATAAAGTGTTGTCCTTTATAACCAACATGCCAAACATTTGCTTGTTCAGCTTCTCAAACGTTAGGATTTGCCAGTTTTCCTTGTCATATGTTTCAGTAAGTTGAATATCTTTGAGTTTTTTTACTGTTAGTCAGGTAAAAACAACGAATTTGAAGATATCACCGTTGGTCCTATGAAACTGTGATGCACTTTTATATAACATGTTAGACCATAGACAATAAGTTGATTCAAACAATATTTAACAAATTAATCACTGCATGAAAAAAATCGTTATTTGCAGCTATTGCATGCAGGTAATTCGGTTGCAAAAATCACACCTATTTTGCATTCATGCACACATGCAAACACACACTATGTTGTTCACTTACCCACTGCTGGAAGAGAGTAAAGGAGAAGCAGAGAGCAAACCAGCTTCGACATCACTGACTGTTTCTGTCTCACAGAGAGAAAATGTGCTGGCAGCTTGATGCTTCAGCTCTTATCGTTGTCTCTTTCTTTTTCTTTTCTACAACAAACCAGCAGTCTGCCCCCTGAACACGAGAGACCTGTTGCAGTCTACGTCTTTACGACTTATAGTCCATTTCCAATCAGCTTTATACGTGCTCCCTCAGCTTCCTCCACCAGTCCAGATCTGGGTAAATGTTTTCCTGCTTCTCCTGATATTAGTTTGTTAACTCCAAGAACTCCACACCCCAATACATATGATTGAATTAGGCTGTTAGCTTCCCGGTGACAGCCATGCTTTCACAGTGCTGCAGAGAATAGCCCCATTCAGATTTAACACAATCAATAGGGCTTTGTGAGGAAACTCAGTCTTGTTTAGGTTGAACAACATCTCCACTCATGTCTTGTTTTTGTACAGGATGACGAGACATGTGTACTAAGGTAAAACATGGCAGGTTTATTAAATCATGTCTTATTTCTTAATGAAAGACGTTGAGTTTGGTGGGCAGGCTGTCAAGTGACCTGCAGTCCCATGACTGTACATCTGAGCAGCAGACAGCAACAGCTGTTTAACTTTTTAGAACATATTTTTAATTCAGTCCTTAAAGCTGTTTTTGTTCACAAAACACAGTTTGTCAGTTTCTATCTTTAAATAAACTATAATAGTTTAGTATAATAATTAAGAGTGAGAACATTAAGCCACATAATCAAGTTAGATAAGACAATCATATTAGATACTCAAATATCTCCGGTTTGGATACTTGCAGCTGTGTATAACGCCATTGTTCCTATCATGGTTTTTTTATTGCAGTAAAGATAACAGAATTAGATAAAACCACACATAAAATGGTTGCATTCTTTTAACACTGAAGTAACAGCTGGCTGGAGTCTGCTACATCGGGAACATCGAAATCATGTCGGTCACATAAAGGCCCACTGGGTTGAACATCAATGTGGTTTTTTTACTAGAAATCTTCGACCACCATCCAACTAAGCTATTACATTGATAACAAAAGTGAATTAACGTTCAGCATGAATGCAGCTGCCCTAACAAGCTACATACTGTTGTATTTAGTATGCATGGTATCGAGACACACAGTTTGTTTATATGATTTGCACATTGACCCTTTTGGTCTCATATCAGCTGTGCAAAGGATTTTGGGTCATCAAAGGATGCTGGCTAGCTTACTGCAGAATGCATACTAAATAGTTTGGTAGTATTTGTCTTTAACCTCCACTCGATTTGTACTGCGCATCTCAACAGAGATGAAATGGTAGCAAGATGGTCCACACCTTCATTACCTCCAACATCAACAATTGGGCAAGTGAGTTTCGGGATTTACCGGCCTGATTTGGCATCTTACTTGCCCCGGGCAAAAGGCAATCCTTGTTTCTCTAAGCCCTGCATTATTGTGAGAAGGGATTTGATAATACTTTACTGCATTTGGCTTGGCTTTCTTCAGTTGCATATGGTATCATTGTCAACAAAATAGTCTCACACATTGTTTTGTTTCTTGTAACCCTTTTTTACATTTTAATCAAATTTGTTGCGCCAAGAAAATTAAACAAAATTATACAAGACTATGTGACAGCGTTCATACACTTCCATCCCATGTGTGTCCCAACGTCTTGCCCATGCTATAACATTTTTCACAATGTTGGCTCCCTATTTCTAACACACTACAAGCATCGCCTCTCTGTCTGCTGCAGCCCTACTGAAACATAGGAAGTTGCTTTCTGCACGCCCCCTGCTGGAGGGCAGAGGGCATGGCTCGCTTGTCGACCTGCTGTCGCCTCATGCGGATGACGGCTGCGTCCACCTGTGCTGCGGCTCTCTTGCCTTGCTGGTCGTCCAGCAGCTGCAGACAGGAGCGCTGCAGCCGGGCCAGCTCCCTCTCAGAGGACTGCAGACATCTCCTCAGCACAGCACTGCCCTGAGAAACACACAGGAAGCACATTTAGTTGGGTTTGTTTTAGTCACAGCAGCATGCAAGCAACAAAAGGGGAGGTGAGTGTTACACCACTGAATGCTTTTTGTTAATATGGCGTGTGAACATCTGGCAGCATATTGGTTTTCTCACATATGAGGAGAGGAGCTCCTACTATCTCATATGGAAGACAATTTCTAACTTTTTTGCTGTTATTGCATGTAATCAGGTCAGTGGTTATTTGTTGGTTAGCCTTATATCTGATAATGTGTTGAGGCAGAATTATAGGGCAAGTCCTGGTTTGGTTTTGGTTGAGGCTAGATAGATTTCTGCAGACGCCAGATGCAAGTTAACATTTAATTTGACCTCAGAAAGATTTATTTTTGCCACCAACAACTTATGCGTTGTAATGAAAAAATACTTTATGAAACATAAATTAAAACTTCAAACATCTTTAAATTAAAAAATCAACCGAAGCTGAATTTATGAATATGGATTGTTATTGAATATTTGATCATCTCAAATATGTATTGTTGTTGAATACTTTATCATCTTAAACCACGAAACCTGTTGCAGGTCTTCATGACTCAAAGTCAGTTTCTGACCAGCACTATCCTGGCAGTTGCCCTGAAACTCATGAATTTTCTTCGTGTCTTTTAGCTAATGCTGCAAAGAATGATCATTTTCATTATTGCTTAATAAGATTATCATGTTCTTATTTAATCAAATAATGATTTAGTCTATAAAATGGCTGAGAATGGGGAAAATGTGCATCCTATTTTCTCAAAGTGATGCCTTTAAATGTCTCAAAGATATTTCCTTAGATATAATGTGAAATGGTGTATCTCTAATCGATAACGCATTGATACTTGATTTAGGATTTAACAAAGCCGAACCCTTTTATAAAGTATGATTAAGAAGGAGGTGGCGAGATTTCTGTCACTGTCGTTTGTGATTGTATTTGAACATATGTTGATAAATATTTTGGAAGTAGTAAACACCTGTATGAGTTGAGCAGCCTCAGGTAACTGTGTCCCTGGGTGCCTCTGATAAATCTGCACCAGAGGCCTGTTGAGTTTCTCTCTGGTCAGGATGTCACCGCTGTACTCTGGACCCTGTACACAGAAAAACATCACCATGTGCACATTGTTTCTAACTCCCAATAACTACAATATAAAAACTCCGTTCTACATCAACACTCACTAACCTGCACTCTGCCGTAGCTCTGACGGATACAGTTACTTTCCCTCTGCTTTCGAAACACGGCCTGCCTGGTGGCTGCATGCATCAAAGTCAGGTTTTGCTGCGAAAAACAAAACCAAATGACAATCAATGACATCGAGTCATGTGTGTATTGCATGCAAGGATGTCTAGCATGCTGTATTTGTATTTACCTCTAGACTGATTGTCTCGGCAACTTTCTTCACCAGGCCATCATTGACTGTGTGATGAACAGCTTTCTGCCTGGTGATGGCGCTGCTGAGCATCTTTCTGATCTTTTCCCTCAGTAGCTGTGACTGGTTGACTGTCAAAGTTGACGACTCTAAGACCTGTTTACATTCTGCAAAACAAATCAGAAAGGTGTCTTCTGTATTTCAACTTTGTTTTAAAAATGTGCTAATCTTACTTCCTTATCTGATGTTGTTAAGGGTAGTGAAGGTTAGTGATGAGAGTATGTATTAGTATGAATTCTATGTTGGAGATACAATGTATATTTGTATAAAGTAGTAACCTGTGCGTTGTAAACATTATAATCGATAGCTACTAAAATTACACAAGCAATTCATTGAATAAAATGAAGGTAACAGTTTCGTCTTGAGAGTACCTGGTGTAAAGGGGCCGAGGGGGTCTGTTTTGTTGAACATCTGAGCAGCGCTGCCGTGTCCAGCAGAGCCGCTGAGAGGCAGCAGCTCCAGGACACGAGACCTCTCACTGGCACAGTCCAGCAGCCGCCTGCCGCTCTGACCCAGGGCCTGGAAGACACACAGGGGGACATTATAAGGACACATCACATCTGCAATCAACCGTTTATACCATCACGTACTGTATATATCTGCTGATTATGTCCACCACATTTCCTTAAAGCCAAAGGGGACATCTCCATATGTCTTGTCCACAACCAAAAAAGACTCAAACGTTCTTTTTTTCTGTGTTTTGCTTCAAAAAGTTACTGAAATGATTAATCAGTCATCACAATAGTTGAAGACACATGTTTCTGTTGATTGGCTATAAATGATTAAACTAATAGTTTTAGCTTTAGAACAAATGTGAAAATATGATTGTAGGATTTCGATGAAGGTCCTAAACTGTGATATACCAGTGGGAAACCATTAGAGAAGCTGATTTTCAAGTCAGTTGATTTGTGTGATTACCGGTAATTAATCCATTACGATTTCTCTACATGTCAAACTAAAGAAGGGTTTGGCTTCCGAGTAGAAAATACATTTCCATCTCTTTTTTAAATAATGTTTAAAACTTTTATTTTTTTAACAAAATGATCATATGAGGTCTTGGGAATATGCATCATTTAAACTAATGCTATGTGATTTGACTGTGCATAATTTGATCTCAGTTCAAAATGATTGGTGCATGAAGGCTTTGGCAGTGTTGTCTTTCTTCCTCCACTCATGCCAGTAAATCACACGGAAGGGCAAGTAGAAAAGAAAGAAAGACAGAGTGTGTGTGTGTGTGTGTGTGTGTGTGTGTGTGTGTGTGTGTGTGTGTGTGTGTGTGTGTGTGTGTGTGTGTGTGTGTGTGTGTGTGTGTGTGTGTGTGTGTGTGTGTGTGTGTGTGTGTGTGTGTGTGTGTGTGTGTGTGTGTGTGTGTGTGTGTGGAAAACGAGTCAACCAATGAAGACAGAACAGTGACGTTGTAAATCACCTGAAGCTGGGTCAGTGTGTCTCTCAGCGCTGCCTCCAGATCCTGTTTCAGCTGGGCCAGCTCTCTTCTCTCACACAACAACAAGTAATCAGCACCGTCTCTCTCCTGCGACAGAGCAGGCCGGTCACACAACACATCTCAACACATCTCCTCTCTTCACAGTTAATA